CGAGCAGGACCCAGCAGGCGGCATCCCCCATCACAGGCACCATCCTTGACCTGCAGGGACAGCGGCTGCCAGGCCGGGCTGCCAGGCCGGGCTCGCCCGCCCCGTGAGCCCCGGGACCGGCGGGAGGCCGGGCACTGGCACAGCCGGCGTGGGCACAAGCGCTGGCTGGCACCTGCCACCGGCACTCGGCTGCCACCGCACCCAAACCGGGCACGGGCATCACCCAGGGGCTGCCACCGGCACCCAGAGACTGCCATCGGCACCCAGGGACTGCCACCGGCACCCAGGGGCTGCCACCGGCACCCAGGGACTGCCACCGGCACCCAGGGACTGCCACCGGCACCCAGGGACTGCCACCGGCACCCAGGGACTGCCACCGGTACCCAGGGACTGCTATCGGCACCCAGAGACTGCCACCATCGCCCAGGGACTGCCACCGGCACCCAGGGACTGTCACCGGCACCCAGAGACTGCCACCAGCACCCAGAGACTGCCACTGGCACCCAGGAGCTGCCACCGGCACCCAGAGACTGCCACCATCGCCCAGGGACTGCCACCATCGCCCAGGGACTGGCACCGTCACCCAGGGGCTGGCACCGTCACCCAGGGACTGCCACCGGCACCCAGGGACTGCCACCATCGCCCAGGGACTGCCACCGGCACCCAGGAGCTGCCACCGGCACCCAGGGACTGCCACCGGCACCCAGGGACTGCCACCGGCACCCAGGGACTGCCACTGGCACCCAGAGACTGCCACCATCGCCCAGGGACTGCCATCGGCACCCAGGGGCTGCCACTGTCACCCAGGGGCTGCCACCGGCACCCAGGGACTGCCACCGGCACCCAGGGACTGCCACCATCGCCCAGGGACTGCCACCGGCACCCAGGGGCTGCCACTGTCACCCAGGGGCTGCCACCATCGCCCAGGGACTGCCACCGGCACTCAGAGACTGCCACCGGCACCCAGGGACTGCCACCGGCACCCAGGGGCTGCCACCGGCACCCAGGGGCTGCCACCATCGCCCAGGGACTGCCACCATCGCCCAGGGACTGCCACCGGCACCCAGGGACTGCCACCGGCACTCAGAGACTGCCATCGGCACCCAGAGACTGCCACTGTCACCCAGGGACTGCCACCATCGCCCAGGGACTGTCACTGTCACCCGGGCTGGCGGCAGGGACAGCCCGCTGGGAGCCGGGAGCATGAGGAGCAGGAATCCTGCCGGGTCAGGAATCCTGCCGGGATCAGGAATCCTGCCGGGATCCAGGAATCCTGCCGGGATCAGGAATCCTGCCGGGTCAGGAATCCCGCTGGGATCAGGAATCCCGCCGGGATCAGGAATCCTGCCGGGATCAGGAATCCTGTCAGGATCAGGAATCCTGCCGGGATCAGGAATCCTGCCGGGATCAGGAATCCTGTCAGGATCAGGAATCCTGTGAGGATCAGGAATCCTGCCGGGTCAGGAATCCCGCTGGGATCAGGAATCCTGTCAGGATCAGGAATCCTGCCGGG